TTTTTTAGAGTAAATTTTTTTTCAAATTGAGTAAATTTTACTCTGGAAATTTTACTGTGTAACAGTCACCGTGCCACAAGGCTCAGTTTTAGGACCCTTTACAATTTATATAAGTAATGTAGGGCAAAACATTCCTGACGCTTCCTTGCGTCTCTATGCTGACGATACAATTGTTTATTGTCAAGCTAGCACAGTTGCCAAGGTTTTCCAGCCTCTACAGTGTGGATGTGACATCATTCAGTCAGACTTATTCCAGCTCAAGCTGTTGAATGCTGATAAAACCAAAGGGACGTTGTTTTCAAATAGAAAGTTGGTGCCAGCTGTTCTTCCTCTTCTCTCATCCATGCATCGTGTTCCTATTGAATTTGTAGATGCTTACAGATACTTACAGATACTACTTTTGGTTGATGCACACCTGTTTTAAACCACATATCAAAAACTTGATAAAGAAATTGAAATTAAAAGTGGGTTTCTTTTTCAGAAATAGATCTTACTTAACTCTGAATGCCAGAAAATGCCTTGTACTTTCCTACCGGACATTGACTATGGTGACATTATTTACATGAATGCCTCTGCCAGCTCCTTGCAGATGTTCGATGCTGTCTGCCATGGTGCGCTAAGATTCATAGCTGGTTGTAACTACCGTACCCATCACTACACTCTGTACTCATTGGTCAGGTGGTCATCATTATCTACACGTAGGCTCTCAAACTGGTTCATCTTCATCTTTGAATCACTCCTTGGTCTGCTGCCTTCTTGTATCTCTTCCCATATGTTACATTGTCAGTGCAGTTACAGCGTGCGCTCTCAGGCTATCGTTACCTGCAGCGTTCCCTCAGTGCGGACTGAACTTGGCAAAAAGTCCTTTTCCTACTCAGCTCCTGCGTTTTTACTGTTGTTTATTGTTGTCGGTCTAAACAGGTCTTTCTTGTAAACGAGTCCTCGGGACTCAATGAGACTAAACTGTATAAATAAAGTTTGAATGAAAAAAAATCATATTTAAAGAATAGAGTTTGTAACGTTTTAAACAACAAACTACTAAATACACAAGAAGAAAACTGTTTGACTGAGCTTCAACATTTTTACAGATGCATGTTTTTTTTTATTTTATTTTTTTTAACAAAGAGATGACTGTTGACCAAAACTTTTATTAGAAATTTTGTGTAAATCTATCTAAATAGAACTTCAGCTATAGAAAGAAACTGAAAAAAAAAAAGTTTCAGATATCTTAAAACAAAAATGTATTTATAAATAAATCATTTTACCTTGTAAATAAATGTATAATTGTATAAAAGCAGTATTTACTATAACACCATGCAAATCAATGTCATATTTTACATTTCAGTTAAACTCGTGTTTTTGAGATTACTGTAATCTTAATCTACACACTCGCTTTGAATGTTATCACCGATTAAATGGACGTTATCAGTTGTTATCATCCCCATAGGTTTCCTTCAGACTGTCCCTCCTCTACCTCCTAGCAGGCTCAGTAGGTTGTAGGTTAAAGTTATGGCTAGGGTTATATCTGAACATAATTAAAGTACCTTATATATTGCTATACTCTATATGAATTGATCAGAATTTCACTCATATCAAACAAACAACAATCCCTCATATTTTCTCTTAAGTGCGTTCTTTTCAGATACTGAATTATATCCTGTTAAATCTGGAATTCATTTGAAGCCAGTCCTTCATATCCAGCTTAAAAGTAGTAGGTAAATTGTAAATAAAGGTTTTAAATAAAGCTAACGGCAAGAAGCTTCCGCTTTTACACTCGCTCAAAGCTGCATATTATCAGCGATTAGAATGCACCTTTAAACCTACTAGGAGGTGCAGGAGGGACAGTCTGAAGGCAACCTATGGGGATGATAACAACCAATGACGTCCATTTAATGTGCTGGTGAAGATTCTCAGTCGTCCAGGACATGGTAAATTCAAAAACGTTCAAGATTGAGAATTCAATCATGAGAAATCTTCTCGGATGAGAAGCGAAACGTCTTCTGTTACAAATAAAGTCCAGTTGTTTCTGTCTTGATCGTTTTTGTATCGTCCTTTTAATGGGCTGATAACATTCGAAGCGGCTGAGTCTACATTGTTCTGTAATTTAGAATAATCAAACCTAAAAGCTTTTTCTCAGATTTTCTTGTGTTTCGGAACAATATCAGAACTTCATAGAGAAGATGACTGTTTATTAAATGTTTGCTTAATGGAAAAAAATACTTAATTATTTCCAGTTGAAGCTTGAAGACCGTCACCATCTGTTCTGATCTACCGTGTGTAAAACACAATAGTATAACTTCAGAGAGATGAATTAAAAAGAATAGTTTTGTCTGCATCAGTTCTCAGTAATTCTTATTGAAGTTTATCTTTTCATTTTTCTACTACAGACCAGAAGATTTCATCTTGGTCTCCACCTCGGCAGGTAAATGAAGGCAGACGCCTCGCTCCTGCCAGGAACATGAAGGGCTTGTCGGGCAGCCGTTCTCAGCACCAGATTCCGTTACCTCATGGTTTGGACTACGACCCCCACGTTCATGATGTCCACATGCACTACGGCTCTGACGCTCGTCACCCGTCATACCTGCTCAGCCCCACCGAGAGCTGCCCCGTCGACTTGCACCACCGCTACTCGCCTCGCAGCTCCATCCACTCCGACTGCATGATGATGTCCCCCATCATGATGCCCCCGCCTGCCGCATCCGACCACATCTCCAGCAGCACCTTCCCTAGGATGCACTACAGCTCTCAGTATTATGACTCAGCCACGCGGGAAGACTGCGCTGCCATCACAGCCTCTGCCACCTCCCCAGCTGTCGCAGCAGCTGCAGCGGCAGCAGCTGCCTCCTCCCACCACGCCGGCACCAAAAGCAACCGCCTTCCAGCCAATCTGCTCGACCAGTTTGAGAAACAACTGCCACTACACCGCGACGGCTTCCACACGCTTCAGTACCAGCGCACCTCCACGACCACCGAGCAACGCAGCGAGAGTCCGGGCCGCATCAGACACCTCGTTCATTCTGTCCAGAAGCTCTTCACCAAGTCCCACTCCTTGGAGGGGTCGTCCAAGATGAACGGCACAAAAGGCGATATTGTAGGAGGTGGAGGAGTGGGGGGTTATTATCATCATGGCCACCACTCTACGAAACATGGCAGCAAGAGGAGCAAGAGCAAAGAGCGAAAGCACCGTTCCGGTGGTTGGTGGAGCTCCGACGACAACTTGGATAGTGACAGCACGTATCGCACACCCAGTGTAATGTCACGGCACCACGGGGAACACGTCACTCACTGTTATCCAGACTCCATGCACAGCCACATGTCACTCAAGGCCTCCAAGAGCAACAATGATGTCAAGTGTTCAGCCTGTGAGAGTATGGCCGAGGGCAAATTCATGAAACGGAGCTCGTGGTCGACACTGACAGTCAGCCAGGCCAAGGAGGCCTACAGGAAGTCATCGCTTAATTTAGACAAACCCATGATGCACACAGACCTCAAAACTTCATCCAGAGCATGCCACTACCTTCAGGTGAGTCGGAACATCCTAATGTAAATACATTTAGATACAACATCCGGTTAGGATTAATAGAGTGAATGTTTATGAAGCATTCACTCTATTGTGACCCATTTGTCTTCCGTACATTTTTCCAGCGTCTTTCTCGTTCCACAATTTTTGTGCTTTTTCAACAAATCAAAAACATTCAGCTCATGTAGGAGAAGGGTGCTATGACTTTTGGTATTGGTGCAACTTTAGCTGTTTTGATTTTATTTATTTATTTAGCTCATTTTACATCCTTCATATCTTTAGATCTGTTTACAACCTTTTTACTGCTCCTTTCACGTTCCGTTCTGGTTCAGCTTCTTTCAGTGTCCTCCTGCAAATTTAAACTTTTTTCAGCTACTTTCAGCAAATTTCAGCTGTTTCGTACTCTCAAATTTTTCTGATAACTACAACATTTTTATGCTTCTTCTAACTTATTTCTGCTAATTTCAGCTTGTTATGCTCCTTTCTGCTTATTTATTTAACTTTCAGCCTTTTCTGCTATTTCAGCTACTATTTAGCTGTTTTATGCTTAATTTAGCTTTTTTGGCTAATTCCACATTTTTTGTAGTCATTTCAACTTTTTTCCGCTTAATTCAGCAAAATATGCTCTCTCCACTTCCTTTTGGTGGTTTAAGCTTCTTTCTGCATATTTAGCAACTTTTCAGCTATTTCGTTTTTTGTTAATTTCAGCCTTTTTTTTTAGTAATTGCCACTTTTTGTGCTTATTTCTGCTTCTCTCAGCATAATTGGGCAAACTTTTGTTCTTTCTGCTTTCTTCTGCTGATTTAAACTTGTTTGTACCTTTTCAGCTAGATTTTTAGCATTTTTAGCTAATTTCAGCCGTTTCCAGATCAATTCAAATTTTTCATGGTGATTTCTGCTACTTTCAGCATAATTAACTTATTTATGCTAATTTCAGCTTGTTATGCACCTTTCAGCTTTTTTCAGCTAGCCTTTTCTGCTATTTCAACTATAATTAAGCTGTTTTGATGCTAGTTTTAGCCTTTTCAGCTAATTCCACATTTTTAGCTCTTTGTAGTACTTTTTGCTTCCTTCCAGTATTTTGTTTCTTTCTGCCTTTTCAGCTACTTTTCAGATTTTTTTAAACACAATTCAGCTTTTTATAGCTAATGTTCTAATTTTTGTGGTCATTTCTGCTTATTTAAACCTAATTAAACAACTGTGTTCTTTTTGCTTTCTTCAGCTAATTTAGGCTTGTTCTTCCATTTCAGCTACATTTCATCATGTATTTTTTAGTTAATTTAATTTCAGCAAGCTCTTCTGCAATATGCATTCACACTGCATATTCGCAGGAAACACAATTTCTCTAGTTGCATTGTATGAAATTGTAGCTGTATTTAACAGAACCACTGAATTGCTTATTTACTGCATATGTTTATGATTTGGTTCAAAAAGGATGGAAAAACAGTGGTTTTACGGTGCTTGTTACATTTAATTTGAGAATTGTCGTTATTTTTTTATTCTTCTTTAGATAGCTATTGCACGTCATTCAGGCTACGTTTGATTTTTCCATTTTTTGTAGTAAATTCAGTAAATAAAAGTTCTAAAACGATCTCTTTCACCAAACCCAGTGCTGTGTTTCACCGCTTCAGTGATCCAGATCCAAATCAAATTTAAATAGGCTCTTCCTTTTCTCACGCTCCAGCTTTCATCCAGGTTAGATGAAATTCAGTTTGCTAGTTTTTGCATATTTTCTCCACTTCTGCACGCTGCAGAGCTCCTGGGGGGATGTTAGGGGTTGGGAGTTGTCAAGAAACAACTCCGATGCTCACGCAATATTAACTCGCGCACACCAGAGAAGTGTTTGATGCATGCAAAGTTGTTCTTACGCACAAGAGAATATCAAGTGCAAATTACTCTTTTTTTTTTTTTTTTTTGTCTGAAAATGAAAATAAAAGATTTAATTTAGCTATATTTTTATTTTGACTTGCCTTCAAAGACAGTATCGGTGCTTAATGGACATCATTGTTAACCAGTGACCTTAAATTCATTGAGTTTTTGGTTGAATATCAGAACTACTTGGTGTTTTCAGGAAATTAGACTATAAGAAAATGGATTCAGAAGAATATGGATCTGAGTTTAAGGTCATATGGCTCGCTGGACTTCCAAGAATGGAACTTGGTGCTCAGAAAATATTTTGTTGTGCGCACAAGAAAATCTTCTAGTGTGCCACGAGGATGATTCTGGTTTTCACAAGGAACCTGATTTATGTTTTTATTTGCATCGACGCTCCCCTCAGAGGCTCCATAGCATCCTCCTTGGTGGAGAAACAAGAAAAGTCTGAAACGGAAAACTCCATCAAGATGTGATTAAAAAAATATAATAATAATCCTGGATCTGGTTCTCACATGACAACAGTTTGCTGATCATATGGATTATGCACCACCTCTGGTAAAATACTTCTAGTTATTCACAACATTAATGTAATCCAGCTTTCGAACAGGCTGTATGACATATTTGACAGAGCATACGTACAACTATGAGCAAATATAGCAGCCATTAATAATAGTTTATATTGCTGTGATCTCCTGATCCTCTTAAAGACTTCTAGGGCAAAGTACCCAAAGTACTCTGAACGTTCACACATAGACATGAACCAGTTCAGGTCAAAGGTTAAACAGGAAGGAGCTGAAGTGGGGGTGAGTTGTGCAGAGGTTCACGGTGGAGGCAGCCCATGATGGATCCGGTTAATGAAAGGATTTGGCTCATCAGTCAGCTGAGGTGGGCCGACACAGATCTGTTCTGGTACCGAGAGGTTCTGAGATGTGGGTAGAGCTCGCCTGAACTGAAGTGAAGAAAATCCAAGTTAAAGCAGAGCAGCATAAACCAGAGGCGGATTAGCTGTGTCTGGATTGAAACTGTGTTCCATTGAGTTTAAGCAAGAGAGTCGCTGCGATCAAAATCTCTAATTAAATTGATCATAAATCTTTTCACACAGGTGTATAAACCCCACCAAACCTTCTGCTACGTTTCACAAGTCATTTATAGTTTCCACAAGCGTTAATATATTTAACCAGAATTCCTTGTTTGGATGATTTCAGGGAGCTTTACCGAGTCGGTTATCGTCATATTAGGATTAAGCACAGAGCTAACTTTAACGGAGAACATAAACTTTTATTTGTCATGGATAAAAGTGTTTTTCAGCAGCAGCCACTGCGAGAGACGAGGTACAGCCTGGACATGTGACAGTCCATCACAGGCAACAAAAACCTAATAAAATTGTTTTTTTTTTAACCCCATAAATATAGAGTTGTTATAATCTTAAGGGGATAGAGATATTTGTGAAACCTAAATTTCGAACTAGTCTAAAGGAAGGATCTACTTCAATCCAAGGAATTAGATTATGGAATAATCTGGAGAGTGTTGAAAATGCCAGATCAATGCGTGTGTTTAAGAGAAAGATCAAAATTCGTTTGTTAAAAACATATGAAATAGCTAAATGTGTATTTGTATGAATTGTTGCTCGAGAATGAGTTATTTGTTTTTGTTATTTGAAGATTATTATTTGAATTATTTTTTTGGAAAAAGGGGCAGATACTATAAAAAAAATGTATTCTTTCTGATGCCATTCATTTTGTTTGTGATTGTATTTCTTAATATAATTTAGTTTTTTTTTAAATGAATAAACTTGATAAGTTTTGAAAGAATGCATATCAGCCTCCAGCGCGTATGCCATAGTTTTAAACAGAGACCTTGAGCCGTTGTTTAGCACTGAGATTTTGTGATGGGGACGACTCTCAGCTTCCAACACGACAAACTGTGGCTCAAAAACTATAGAAATGACAGAGGAATGATCATTTTTGTGTTTGGAAAAACTTGATTAGCTTTTTGTGACCGTGTTGAACTAGGTTGACCCCAGTTTCATTTAAAACTGTCTAGTGGTTTAAGAAATATTTTGCTAACAAAGAGGCATGAATCTCACAGGAACTTTGTGTGCTTGGTCATTGTGTTGGGGATGTTTCTCAGCTACTACTGCACCAAATTTGAGCTCTGATTCTGTAAAACAAATGAAGTTATGGTCATTTCTGTGTTTAAAAAGTAGCTGTGGCAGCCATGTTGAATTAGGTTGACTTCAAATGTCAATTGGTTGTATATATATATATATATATATATATATATATATATATATATATATATAAACCAGATTCCAAAAAAGTTGGGACACTAAACAAATTGTGAATAAAAACTGAATGCAATGATGTGGAGGTGCCAACATCTAATATTTTATTCAGAATAGAACACAAATCACAGATCAAAAGTTTAAACTGAGAGAATGTATCATTTTAAAGGGAAAAATATGTTGTTTCCAAATTTCATGGCGTCAACAAATCTCAAAAAAGTTGGGACAAGTCCATTTTTACCACTGTGTGGCATCTCCCCTTCTTCTTACAACACTCAACAGACGTCTGGGGACAGAGGAGACCAGTTTCTCAAGTTTAGAAATAGGAATGCTCTCCCATTCATGTCTAATACAGGCCTCTAACTGTTCAATCGTCTTGGGCCTTCTTTGTCGCACCTTCCTCTTTATGATGCGCCAAATGTTCTCTATAGGTGAAAGATCTGGACTGCAGGCTGGCCATTTCAGTACCCGGATCCTTCTCCTACTCAATCTCCTCCTCAATTTCCTTTTTCCAGCCACTTTTTGCTACTTGTCCCAACTTTTTTGGGATTTGTTGACACTGTGAAATTTTGAATCAGCCTATTTTTCCTTTAAAATGTTACATTTACTCAGATTAAACTTTTGATCTGTCATCTATGTCATATTACGAATAAAATATTGACATTTGCCATCTCCACATCATTGCATTCAGTTTTTATTCACAATTTGTTTAGTGTCCCAACCTTTTTGGAATCCAGTTTGTATGTGTATGTATGTATGTGTATGTGTGTATTTATATGTGTGTATGTATATATATATGTGTGTATGTATATATATGTATGTATATGTATATATGTGTATATGT